GGACGTATTGGACGTATAGGACGTATTGGACGTATAGGACGTATTGGCCGTATAGGACGTATTGGCCGTATAGGACGTATTTACTATAGAATATAATGCATGATTTTCTTGAAGTACAAGACAAATATCAGATATATAAAAATAACTCAGATAAAAATGTTCTAATGATTGTTATTGCTGGTAGATTTCCACAATAACATCTTCGTATTCTATATGTTCGAATATTAATCGATGGAATTTCATATTCTGGTAAGGTTCAAATCGTTTCAAACGAAAATATTTCGCTATTCTATTTCATCTATCTACAAAAGATCCATATCATCAATCATGTTTTTTTTTATATATCTACATAATTCAGATTTCTATTTTTTTAATTCATGTGCATCGTGAAGTGTTTTTCACTTGCGTAAAAATGTTACAAATTATCTCATCACATGATACATCTTTATCATAAACTGATAATAATGTTTTATTTCATGTATATATTCATTTCGAAGATGTTTTATGAGAATTTTCTTCTCGTCTTCATATCATTTTTCCTGATTTATGTTCTTTGATGGTAATAAATACGTTTTCTTACGAATTTTATGCATGTCAAACAAATGCAATACGTCTTATCAAATTCTTAAACAAATTCTTCAACAACGGATACATTTACAAACATTTATTTGTACAGGTTTATTTATCATCAATGTTTATTAAAAACAGGAATTCATCGAAAAAAATTTGTTATTTAATTTACCCAATTTTAAATGAAATTTTATGTATGGAAAATGTTTTGATGTTTTCATCTATTGAGTTCAATAGCAAACATTGTATTCATTTACAAATTTTGTTTCCAATGTATTAGAATTAATTATTAATGATTATGGATTAGAAACAGTAACAAAATTATTAAGTAAATATTACCTTGTCTGGAATGTTCGTACAAGTCATCCTGTATTGTATCTTTGAGATATATGGGTACTATTATTTTAACGAAGGCACAATTTTATTACGACACATCACGTTTGCCGCGATTGGTTCATGACCTCCATCAAAAAAAAAAAAGTTTTAATAGCTCTTGTGTTTCGAAGATACGTTACAGGATGCGTTGCACGAACTTTCCGAATAAGGATATATCAATATTTTTGGTATGTTATTAACCTTGATTGATGATAAAGACGAATTTAAACAAGGAGTACTTTAACTTATAATTCATTGTTTATGTGTACCACAAATACCTTTATAGCATCAATTTTTCAACGCATTAAAATGATTGTTGATGATATTAAATTAAATATTATTCTCAAATAAACAGAACAACAAGATTAGTAAAATCTATTAATTATATGAATGAAATTTCTTTTTCGTTATTTACAGAATGGAGATGTTTTTATCGACATCATTATACATTTCTATCAACAACTACTCCAAGTAACAATTCCGAAAGTCGATTTCAAATTTTTTAATTTAAAGTATTGACATCGATTATGAATGATAAAATTTTAATTGATATTTTCAATGAATATACTCTTGATTTGTACGCGAATGATCTTGTTGGAATATATTCTACTATTACTAAGACAATTTTTGATATTGATCGTATTCAATATGAAAAAGGTATTGAATTTGTGACAAATTATAGCGACTACTTACCGATGAAAATTATTAATGACTATCCGACAATTCCTCGAACAAACATGCCTGTATGAGAATTATATGAGTAGAAGTTTTTAACAAAATTCTTCTTATTTTAATTGTTTAACAACAACAACATATTTTTTTGTTATAGACGCGCATTGGCAAAAACATTGCCCATGGCGTTATTCAGAATGTAAGTTGGTGTTTCTTTTTGTTTTTGATGCATTAATCGGGCGAAACCTATAAAAAAAATCATTTTAAGGTTATTTTGTTATATCAAAAAAAACGAATATTATTCTATTTCTCGTAGAGAAGCATCATGGAAATATAAATTGTCTGTTTGATTGCTGGTGTGTCCACAGTCGTTATACAGATGTGGTGGAAGATTATATACATGTATATTGATGAAAGATGATCATTTTGGGTGGCACATACAAGATAAATTCAAGATGAATTTATACGAAATTTCTCCGGTATGTCTTTAAGTATTATTTCTTTAAATCTTCTCCATATTATCTAGTCAATCCTTGGATGTTGTTCAATACTCTATAGTAAATCTTGTATTTTTCGTCATCGAATGTCAATATGAGTTTCTAAAATACTGTTTGAGAAGTCCTTGCAAACAAAACAAAAACGGTCGTAATAAACTAGATCTTATAAACTGGAACGAATAGCATTAATCGTAGGATTCGCCCAGCTCTTTCTAATAGAAATCGTGATCGACAGAGTTCTACTAATGTTTTGATTCATTTGATTTTAACAATCTGATCTCAAATTCACGTTCTTCGATCTCAATTATTTTTCGGTGAATCCTTAACAAAAATCTTTGATTTTTCAAAAACCTGATGCAATCCTTGAAAAATCAATTCTCAGAGAAATTCTAAAGAAAAGTTATCTTTAACTTTGACTTATTCTTCTGCCATTCAATAAAATGCGGACCGCATGCAATCAAGCAAACAATCTATTCTTGTAAAACTCTTCTCTACGAGCAAGAGAGTATACTTACAACGAATTGCCCGAACTTTATTTGGACACATGGTCTTAATACGTTCCATCGCCCGTTCATCACGTGATTGATATATCTCTTTGATAACCTTGCGACATGTTGTTGTGATCCGCTTCTTTTTACAACCTTTTAATTCTTTATACGATAAACCTAATACATTTGCTATTTTCTTAATCTTTTTTTTCAATTCGTTTTTTTTCTTTTCTTCATCTTTATCTTTATCTTCTTGTTGCTGTTGTTTTCCATCATTTTCATTTGCTTCTTCTCCATCTCCTTCTTCTGCTTCATTTCCTTCTAAAAAACATTGAAAACCATTAAAAGAATATGTGAAGAAAAATTATCAAAAATCGCAACAAGAAAATATTTCGATCAATTACAATCAACAATCCAAAATGCATTTAAATATATTTTCTGTGATAAATAATCAATGTGTATGCAATGTTTTATCTGATTTTTATCAAATTTTTAGTCAAAAACCATCAGTTAAAATCGATATTGCATTCAATAATCGACTGAAATCCATTCTTATTCAAAAAATCTATAAATATCAATTATAACTTAAGAACTTGATTACAATCTGTTAATTTTAATAGGTTTAATGAATGAAAATCAACTATATTATAAAAATATAATAAGATCTCTTATATGTTAACTTTAGTTTATTAAAATCGATTATTTTGTACTTTATCTAATGAAAACCAATTTTTGTTTGAAAATTTAAAAAAAATCTATTTAACTTTTCCCCAACATACCATTTAATTGATTATATGCAACTCGAGGTATACGAAGTAGAAAATTTCCAGTATCGTCTTTTTCCCTATTTCAAAATCATATTAAAAAATACAAAATAAATCTTTCAATGATCTACTTGTCCATCAACTGTTTTTCAAGATATTCGATTTGGTTTTTTAAACGTTTATTTTCATCTATAATCATTTTGTACTGATCTAGCAACAATTCGTATCCGAATCTTGTTGGTGGTAATGATAATGGGTTAACATTAGCACGATTATTATTATTATCATCATCATTATTTGATGATAATGGACCTGTTTGTTCTTGATATTTTCTAGTAAATTTCGTGTTATTTCTCTTACGTGGCATTTCAAAATGATTTAAGTTTAATTCATATTTTATTTCCCAATGTAGATTAATTTCCCTAGTGTTAACTATATAGTGGTAAAAGAGAAGTAAAAAATCTGAAGTGAATAATGATTTTATTGATTTGCTTATTCTGAAATGAGATAATAGTTCTATCTAAGGAATTAATTTTTTGTATTATATTTATTCTTGTGTTAAGATTAGTCGTAAGTTATTGAATTAATTACTTATTTTTCTCACAATCACGAATATGGCTTTTATAATTAATTGATCTTTTTTATGTCATTTTTTGACGGAAAAAAATCGCATTTGTATTAAATATTCGTACATTATTTTACAACAATGCGAAATATTAAATGAAAAAAATATTTGATTTTATTTCAAACATTTTTCTTATTGAAAATACTTAATTTCTTTTAGCTGAAATTTTCTCAAGATAAATAACAAAGATAAATCTTCATCTTTTTTGTTTTTATCAAATATAAATAAAAATGATTCACATATTGTTTGTTGGAAAAAATTTTAAAAAGCAGTTAGATATTTTATTTTACAATTTATTAATTTATCATTTGTAAATATATTTTTTGATGATGATTAAAACAAATTTTAGTTATTTAAAATAATTCTTCATATGAAGAAAATTTCTTTGATAGGATGTAAAACAAACAGGATGTTGAAATTCAAATGACAATTAAATTAAATTAAATTCCAAACTTAAAGAAATGGAAATTGATAGTGCTACCAAAATCGATCGAATTTTTAATTTAGATGAAATTCTGTCGTTTTAGTTCTGCTTAGTCATAGAATTCAATGGAAAAATCAACCGATTTGAATTGATAATCGAAATGATAAAATAAAGATTTCCAAAAGAAATGAATGTTTAACGTAAATTAAAATGAATGTTTGAGAAAGTTGAATGATTAATGTAATTGTTGAAATAATAACATTTAATGAAAATGTTCAAATATTTCATGAAAAAGAAATTTGATTTCCATTAAAATTAACAATAAAATCAAATTGGAAAATGTTTGATATTCAATTATCATTATAAACAAAAACAAATTCATCGAAAATCGATTTCGTAAATGTTCTTGTTATTATTTTTGTTTTAGAAAAAATGAAAAATATTGATCTTAAAATTCTTTTTCTCTTTATTAGTAGTATAGTGAAGAACTAACATGATCAAGAATCAATGTGTCATTGAGAAAAAAATTTCTTTATGTACATTTTATCATACGATATTATATTATCTAATATCGTAATATATAGATAAAAGAGAGTGTGATAGTTCTGTTAGGTAATGGGAAAGTATTGACATATAATCAATGGATATTAGTAACACAATTCTTATGATAATGCATTATAATGCATTAAACAAAATTCATCAACAAACAAATAAATCAGTTCAAACTAATTATTTATTTTCGATTTCTAGATAACAAATAAAGAATGAAACGTCAGGAAGAAAACAATGTATATATGAAATTATATTTATAACAAGAGTACAATTTTCAGATGTTCAATAGGACATTTAGTGAAGAAATAATGTGAACAAAACTATGTTATATCTTCAGATGTAACATTATGATCTAGATCTGACTGATCGTCATCTTCATCATTATTTAATTCTTCACCATTCAATGCACCAAAGCGTTCATATATGCAGGGTGTAGGGAAAAAATCCTTGATTATATCACCAAAATATTGAAATCCCACACCAATTGTTTCCGAATTGATGCCGGTCATTTTGCAATTCAAAAGATGCAACATAATCAATAACATTATTGTCGAATGTGGAAATGAAAAATTTCGTAATGCAAATTTGGCACGAGATATATATTGAAATGCTTGTTCAGCTGCTTGACTATTTTATCCAACAAATCGTCCTTCATGTGATGGATGATCGGATTTCATAATGGTTTGGCATATTGATCTTGAATGTGTTTTTTGATGAAAGTTATCGAGAGCAAGATGAGTTGGAAGCTGTTGTGTTCTTGTTGATGTCTTTAGCATTTCGCTGCCTAACCATTTATTCCAATGAAGTTTTAATGCGCAGGCGCAGTCATACATGAGTGCATCTGGCATAAGACAACCATTAATGATCATCGATAAAAGATGACGGGTGACAGAACGCATTCCTAGTAAGAAATAATAAACGCGATAATTTATATCACTTCAAGGTTTTCTAAGAGGTTTTAATCGAAAAATATTATTTAAATCTTATTTAAAAGAGTTTTTTAATGAACACACCTTCAGCTTTAATTGCTTCTGTAAAGCCGACTGCAACTCCACATGGATGATATGATGCTAGTATACCATATGATTTATTTTTTTTTATTTCTTCGCTATCATTACGATAATTTTGGCATTGAATTTTATGTTCCGAGAGAAAGTCTCTATCCCATTTCTAAAATAACAAAAAAAATTATGTGAGATAACAAAATCTATGTGAATTTTTGAGTAGGTCAAACGGTAGAATGGATCACACGTGCGTAGTTATCTGTATGATTATTCGTCTTTAATCAAGTATATAAAGCTTTCCTTGGCTATCATAATTTCGATCATAGATTATTTTTTTGAAACGAAAAAAAGAGAAATCAATTTCACAACATTAACTACGAAAAGATTTTTTCAAATACATATTTTGTTAAGTGTTAGAGATTGTCTTTCACATTTATCCGGTTAGGCATGCACCAGTCCGATAAAATCATTATCAAAGATGAATTGTTTCTGATACCTAAAACCCCCAGTCCTTACCAGTCAGTCAAGGCCTTTGAACACGATATTGATTAAGCAAACCAACGCTACCGTCGAAGTTTGAAAACTTAGCGGACAAAGAAAAAAGACTGGGAATGACTGGTGAAAAGCCGAAAATTTCCGATTTCTCACCAGTCACTCCCAGTCTTTTTTCTTTGTCCGCTAAGTTTTCAAACTTCGATGGTAGCGTTGGTTTGCTTAATCAATATCGTGTTCAAAGACCTTGACTGACTGGTAAGGACTAGGGGTTTTAGGTATCAAAAACAATTCATCTTTGATAATGATTTTATCGGACTGGTGCATCCCTATATCCGGTGAATAATAAATATTATATTGTAAAAGGTCTAATAAATGGTATTTACATTATAACCATTCTGTGATAGCATATTTGTGGAATTACTAGGTCTGACCAAAAGTTCGTGCAGCGATACCTTAATACCTTATGGTAAGCTTTAAGTAACTTTCTTTCTATATAGTCTGATAGAGAAAAAAATGCTCTATCTTTCTATGCTATTTGATCATACTTCAACTAATATGATGATAATAAATTTTCGATAAGACTTTTTTCATTAGTATTTGTGCTGGTTGTAAGTTTTGCGTTGTAGTTTTCAATTCCTTATTAGTTGTATTAATAATCAAAGTATACTATAAGATGCAGCGTGAAAAGCTCTACAATTTACATAAGGCCACTTATTTTATAGCTGCACTTTTTGTTTTCGAAATCGACGAAATTTTGAGCAATCAAATTGTGACCATGCAAAAAAGATAATGTTTTCGATAGACAACGAATTCATTTTTGTTATTTCATTGTTTCATCACCTGATATACTTTATCAAAAGAAAAACAAAAAATACCGCAAGATGCAGCGTGAAAAGCTCTACAATCTACACAGTAAAGCTTATTGTAATTGTTTCCAGAAAGAGGAAAATTCTATGCGACCAATTTTCTCAGTGCCCAAAATTTGATCCCTGAAAACTTTATCGATTTTGAAAACAAAAAGTGCAGCTATAAAATAAGTAGCTTTATGTAAATTGTAGAGCTTTTCACGCTGCATCTTATGATACATTTTGGTTGTTCATACAATGTATTAAGGGATTGAAAACTAGTCTGTTCTCACACGTTGTGATCTAGTACAACCAGCACACAACCAGCCGAAATAGGTTTTACAGATAATTTAATATTATTATATTAGTTGAAGTACAATCAAATAGCATAGAAAGATAGAGCTTTTTTTTCTCTATCAGACTATATAGAAAGAAAGTTACTTAAAGCTTACCATAAGGTATTAAGGTATCACTGCACGAACTTTTGGTCAGACCTAGTATTTATATGCTGAGTAACCCCTGATACTTAACCTCTGAAGATGACTTAGTTAACATAATAATAATATTACCGAAAATTCAGCAGCCATATCATCAGCTTTTTGTAAATTAAGAGACGGCGATAAAAGAATTGAGGGTTGATGATATCTACAATAAATTGCATCAACTAAAATAAAATAATATAAATGACAGTAACGAATAATTCTATATTTACCTGAATTCGATGATTGTATTCTTCGACAGGGTGTATATGGACAACCAATTTCAATTGCAGTCATTTCTTCAATGGAAGTATCGACAATATTTTTAAAACTACATACTAATCGTCGACATTTTTGATGTCCATCCACAATGATACATCGACTACAATCTGAAGGACAACATTTTATATTTGGGATTGACTTATGTGTGGACCAAAATGTCGTGAATAAATGATACCACCAACCAGAATAACATTCAAAATGATAATTAAGTTCATTACGATTAAGTGAAACTGGTAAATTAACTATTTGCGTTCGTCCTAACATAAATTCAAAGCATACAATTTGATATAATAACCAATGAGATTGAAATAATTTTGCTAATGGAATAGGTTGAAGATTGATGTTGCTATTTTGACGTTCGTAATTATACCGATCAATAAGTATTCGAGAAAAAGCTTGAAATGGACATTGATCATGTAGAAGTTGGCATGTATAATCAAAGAAAACCGAATATGTAAATGCAAAAGAATCACATAAATAAAATATTTTAAGTGCACTATTTAATGATGATTTATTAATCTTTCGCCATCGATTCTTCAATGAATACCAAGATGAATGATTATAAATTAGTGAACATGTTTTACACTCAGCAGTTACAGCTATTGCTCGAATAATTTTAAAACAGTCAATAACATGAATTAATTTGTATCGATACGAAGTAAGTGATTTTGTGCAATTAATACAGATGTTAGTGAATGGAAATAAGATCAAATCGTTTAAAACATCCATTGTAATATGATTTATATCCAATTTAATAATATTTTGATTAAAATCTGACAGTAATAATACTCGATTAATCATATCTTTATTTATTTCAATCATATTTGTCACCATCATAATATCTTCAGTTGTATGACTGCTGTCATAACGATCATTTACTGCTTGTTTTATCAATTGGGTTCGAGCAGTAGACGGTAAAATTGTTGGTGGAAAATTTGATAATTTAATGTATAATCGACAGACGTAAATTAGAGATACTAAACCAATTGAACAACGAAGTGCTTCAAGAATATCTTCCCCATTTGGCATCTAAATTAGTAAACAACTTTAAGTGAGTATACAAAATTAACTATACAAAAAGAATATATATTTTAATCAGTACAATGAACTTTTCCGAATAAGATCAGTGGCTCTTATCGTCTATGACGCATAGACTTTAAAGATGCTCCCGCATTTAAGTTTTAAACATAGGCTTTTGTTGGTGATATAAACTATTATATTTCTATAAGGTAGACTCACGGTCAGACGCTCGCTTATTCTATACAACACATTGACTGAATCTTTTCTGATTATATCAGACGTTTACAGAGCTGTTAAACTTTTAAGTTGGTATGAAATACATACAAATATTATTTTCAAAAACGATCACATTGATTACAGTATTATTAAAATCTTGGGACGATCAAAAATAGTTATCCCTCCTTTATATCAATATTTACCTTGATTGTAGTGTCGAAAATAAAGATGATATAATTGATTAACGAGTTTGCTCTCTATGGATATGTTGTGATTTGATATTATCAATATGAAAGTAGTGTATCTTTCCACGTACTTATTAAGTTTTAATTTGAAATTTAATCTGAATTATTCGTTATCAAATTGCGCTAGGCTATTATACATTTCTTTTTCTTTCTTTCCTTTTCCGTCAATTTGTTTCTGTCACCGTCTGTTTCTTTCCTTTCCACATGACTGATTCATTTTTCATTAGAAAAGGATCAATATATTTCTTTTGTCGAAATATATTTTCATTTATCCATAGAATTTTATTTCAATATTTGAAATAAACTGGAATCAAGCTAAATTCATTTTTTTTAATAACAATATCTTTTCATGGCAGTGAATTTTCACGACATATTAAATACCAATTTATATTTCCTTTAAAATAAAAATATATACAAACAAAAATCAACGTATTCTTTAACATTATTTAATTCAGAAAAGTTCTTTCGATACAAAATCTCGAATTTATTCATTTTCGTTAGATGATTCTTAAAA